ATTATATTGTGAGGGAAAAATGGTAGTTTTTAATCATTCTTGGCCCAAATTTCTTTAGCCAAACTATACTTTCTTTCGTTCCTCAACTGCTTACATTATATATATGAATAAAACACATAGAACAGAATACCTCAAAGAGGACTAAAGAGCACGTCTTAAAGAGCCAAGTGGTCAGTGTCCACTATGTTGGACAGTCAGGCTTAGAGAGGGGCAGGTAAGACAGTGACATGCCCTCATTTTTCTATTTCAGCCACCTGGGTTGGAGGAGGTTATATCAATGGAACAGCCGAAGCAGTGTATGGACCAGGCTGTGGTCTAGCTTGGGCTCAGGCACCCATTGGCTATTCCCTGAGTCTAATTTTAGGTAAGTGGAAGTTTAAATCTCAGTGACTCACTCAGTATTCAGCATAAAGAAGACGAGAATAAATAACAAGTCAAACAATGTGAACAGCTATTGTAGAGAAAATGCCACCTGAAATTTCTCAGTAGTGGTTATCAGAAATTGTTATGTAGCAGAGTACTAATGCTTAGATTGTTTGATCTCTTGATAATGGAATACACACAAAATTCTTTGCTCTTATAACTACTAGCACACTGAGTTTCTTAACCTTTCAAAAGTGGTATGGATGTATCATTAAAAGCAAATCAACTCCATTGTCCAAGTTCCTTTTGGTAAATCAAACTAGTAAGAGTTCCTTTTTGTTATACAAAATGCTTTTACTGGACTTTGTGTTTATTCAAAACATCTAAATGTTCTGTGTGATACAAATATGTCAAAGTATTTTAGTGAGCACTGCCCTGGTCCATATTTTTCAATTCACATACTTCAGTTATATCATCCAATCATCTATTAGACTCATACAGAGTTACATTAGAATGTTAAGTATTTCTTGATATTACATTCATGGGATATGTTACATTTGTTCAGTATAAATAGATATTCTTTAACAATTTTCCTTGAAAAAATTACAGCATAGTAAAAGGTAAGTGTATTATCAGTTTTATGCTCATAAGCAATTATTTGATCTGTTTTAGGTGGTCTGTTCTTTGCAAAACCTATGCGTTCCAAGGGATATGTAACCATGCTAGACCCATTTCAACAGATTTATGGAAAACGCATGGGCGGGCTCCTGTTCATCCCTGCGCTGATGGGAGAGATGTTCTGGGCTGCAGCAATTTTCTCTGCATTAGGTAAGGACTGGAGAAGATGGTTCCACCTGCGTCTCCAATTCTTGAATATCAGGTTTGGCCTCTTAGAAGTCTTCAATACCATTCTCTGAGCCATATTTAGTCTCAAAATCTCAACAGAAATTCTATATTTTGTATAATATGCCTACAGAGGTTAAATTCAACCTCAATTGCATCTGTTTTTAACTCAAATCACATCATTAGAGTGTAGCCATAAGTTATAATGGTCATGAGTTGCTTTTGTAAGTTGTGTATGATTTTGAACAAAGAAAATTTAATTAAGCATAATTAAAAGGTATAGTTTATACCAGGAGTTTTAAAAATTAGTGTCTATCATTCAAAGGCTAGAGGAAATTCTTGATGATGAACAAATTTAAATCAATTACTTTTATCTGTATTCCTTTTAGCAACTGGTCTCTCTCTCTGTGAACTGAGCACATTTTGCCGCTCCTATTTTCCAAACTTCTAATAACTTCCATGTTAATGAAACTCCTTAAAGATTTTTAAAGGCAGTAATACTGTTGCATAAAATATTTCTAATCCAAGTCAAATAGAAGATAAGCATAATCATGCCTTTAATCTCAGCTCTCAGAAGAAGGCAAGGCAGACAAATCTCTGAGTTTGAGCCTGTTCTGGTCTATACAGCAAGTTCCTGGCCAGCCAGAGTTACATGGAAAGACCCTATCTCAAAACAAAAAAGGAAATATAAAACCAAAAGTGAGTCTCAATAATAAACAACATTCACAAGAAATGAGATCTTGCCTACCTGCTAACAGAATAGACAAGTATTCAAGCAAAGCCATCTACCATGAGATGTCATTATAAGATTTTGTAAAGGCACAGTCCAGTGGTTGATTAATTTGAAATGATAGAACATAGCAAGTATATTCCCACCACTTTAAATGTTTTCTTAATAATTCACTTAAAGTGTCCTATCTCTGAGCATCTCTCATCTCCAGTCTAATTTTGGAGATACAGATTGAGAGCTGAAAACAATAGCCGCCAGTTCCCGACATCTGAACAGATTGAGGTTGTTTAGACAACTGCACACTATGACTCCCTGGGAAGGTGTGCGTAGCCTCATCTGGCTTGCCACCGCCTTCATCCCACAGCTCTTGCTCTCCCACTTGGCTCCTCCATCAACCACCCTCCTTGCCTCTGTCCACTTCTGTGTGGTACTGCAGCCAGGCCTCCCTTACCACTGACCCTCCCTGCTGGAGTCAGTGCAAAGGTCTTCCTGCTTACATCTCTGCCCTCCTCTGGTAGGCTCCACATGGTAGTCAACTCCTCCTCCTAAATTCAAGTCTCATCACATCTCTTTTCTGTTTAAAACCAAACTTTTTAACAGAACCTTGACCTGGTTTTCTCCTCTCACCATTTCCTGTGCGCTCTTCCTTTTTCTGAACCGTGACCCTCCTCCCTTGCTTCTGACACTACACAAGCCCAGTTAACGCTGCCACAGACTCATCTCTCCTGTTTTCAGTGGGGCTGTGGAAGATCTTCAGGCTCAGTCCTGTGCCTTTTGATCAAGAGCAGACCTGTTCCAGCCTTCTGGGAGTGGAGCTCTCCATGACTTAGCTGAGGAGTTGGAAGCCCTGTAGCCCTCTTCAGAGCCCTCACCTCAGATATTTGCATACACTTGTGTGTGATTCCCAGCTCTTTCTTAAATAGAATTACAAGACTTGAGTCTACAGCCAGCCTTAAGTGGTCAGAGCAAGGGTAAAATAGGATGAATTTCATTCTGTGTAATGTATTCTGAACACGTCTTCCTACTTCAGCATTGTCACTCCGTGTGGCCTCTGAAATACCAAAGATGAGTTCATACTAACTTTGTCTCTTTTCTCCCACGTTCCTTTATGATCTAAGATTATTTTCTTAGTCTCTGACTATATAAGAAAAGAAGTGATGATGTGGAAACAAAGACAGCCTAACTGAAAAATACACAACTCAGTGAAAAATTGCACTTCCCTGTCCTGGACAACAATCCTTAACTTAAACCCTAATTACATAATGTATAAAAAGAAACATCTCTCTTTACCTTGTTCTCATTACCTGAGAAGGAATGGGAGTTTATTTGCTGTTGTTTTCAACACTGGAAATTTGGGGTTTAAGAACAAACTACCTGCTGAGGTATGACAAAAGGAGTGGGCTGAATATCTAACAGAAAACAAAATGTTCACGGAGCCCTGAAAGGTGAATAGAACTAATGGGCTAATGTTTCTATGACATTTTACACATATAAAACATAGTAGCTAAAGCCTGAGCCTTGATATAATTAGTTGTGTGTGTGTTTCTACATCTGTAGATGTATTTCAGTATATATGTAAAATATGTTAAAGTCTCTGTATACACTCTCACACATATCAAATAACATTATATATACTACTATCTACTATTCTTCCTAGAAATCTATGCACTAGTAGAGTATGTGCATTTTAAAATTATGGCCTTTTTCTCTAAATATAATTAGTGGATATATGTCAAAATTAGTGTTTATAACAAATAACTGGATGCTTAATAGACAAAACAGGCTTTATCTGTGTTCACCTCACTGTGAATGTGGGTAAGGAATGAACACATAAGAGGATCTGTTTTTATAATTTCAGTAAATATCATTGAAGTTGATACCAGTACAGAAGAAATCAGTCTATGCTTTCATGTAAAAGCAGCTTTCTAACACATTTTCAGGATGGCTGCTTTCACAGGTCTCATCCGTCAGTCACTTCTCTGTCCTTTTCTGACCTTTCTTTCCTGAATAGCCTCTTCCAGAGGCAGTTCAGGCATTCAACTTTCACATATTTTGTCCACTGCTATTTGCGCAAGTGCTACCTCAAAGTCAGACCCAGTGGTCCCTGACATGGTGAAAGCTCTCAGGAACCTTCTCATAGGTTCTGTTACATCTTCCTCAAGTGCTGTATCACGTCATTTTACGTTCAATTACTGAATCATAGTGCTTCATGATAACACTTTTAATACCATTTAGCCAGCACCATCCTGGTGCTGCCAGGCTAGCCCTACACATCATTTTGACCCCAAAGTAAAGCATAACTGTCTGCCTGGAATGAATGGACATCTTAGAACATTAGAAAGAAACATGTGCTTTTATTTCTAGTGGCTAAATTCAGCGACTTGTTTCATTGCTTTATATCATGTTTACTGTGTACCAAGATAATAAGACTAATATTTCACAGCAGATCTGGAAATACAATTTCGCTCACTATAAATTGCATAATCATATATAAAATATTTTAGAGAAAAATTCAACCCAATGCAATTGTGATAGCAAGGGCAGTGACGTTCCTAAAACTACTGAGTTTCAACCAAATGATGGCATCTCCATGACTATGACCCATCTCCTGCCATTAAACTGCTCATAATCCATGGAATTATAACTCAGAAATGCAGAGGACTTCACCTGAAAAAGAAAGGCAGAAAGTTGCAACATGAATAAAGGGCTTCAGGGGAAAAAACAAGAAAACTGTCAAAGGTCCACATAGTAACTCAGCCATTTGTCTAAAGTCACTTATAAATAATTGACCTCTTTTGTGTTTAAATCACAACTCATTAGATTTCTCTATTTTATTTGTTTTTATTCAAGGAAACTTTTATTTTATTACCATAGCCAAAGATAAAAATATTTTGTATTGGTATTTTCAAAGTATCTGAATTACTCTTTGAAATTATGGATGTTCCTCTCTGGTAGTTGATATATACTGTGAACATGCTGGTTCAGTAGTAGGTGGCAGAGGCAACCAGTGGAAATAGATGATGCAGAATAGTCAAAGATTTAATGATTGTGTGCTAGTGTGCCTATTACTGGTGATTTTAGCAATATGAAATTACATAAAAATATGATTCATGGGCTGAAGAGATGTCTCAACGGTTAAGAACACTGACTGCCCTTGCAGAGGACCCGGGTTCAATTCCCAGCACCTACATGGTGGCTACAAACCATCCTTAACTCCAGTTCCAGGGGAATCTGAAGCCCTCTTGTGACCTCCTCGGCATTACACGACATGGGTGCACTCACATACATGCAGGCAAAACACTCATACACACAAAATAAAATAATAAGAAAAAATATATGATTCATTGTAAAATATGGATATGGGGGATCATGCCTCTCAGAAAGACTTCTTAAGATGTAAGTCTGTTGCATATATTTGATTAAGTCAAAGTTTCATATTGTGAAGGTGCTACAAGTTCTTAGAATATAATTAAATTTATCAGGATCTCAGGGTTTTCTGTTATCAGACCATGTGTTTTAGGTATGTCTTACATAAATTGGCTAGCAAAACACCAGTCTCTGAAGGCATATGCTGATATAGGTAGAGAGATACATACTTAGTTTACTAATATAAAATTTTCAGCCTAACAATTCTTTTCAGCTGTATTCATCCAGTACATCCCATAGGACACCAGGAAATGCCCACAGTCACTGCACTTCAGTCATGTGCTTGCACAGGATCTGAGCTCCTTGCCTACAGAGCATGCCTGTGTGTCTTCTTCCAGGAGCCACCATCAGCGTGATCATCGATGTGGATGTGCACGCGTCCATCATCGTCTCTGCCCTTATTGCTACTCTGTACACCCTGGTGGGCGGGCTCTACTCTGTGGCCTACACAGACGTCGTGCAGCTCTTCTGCATTTTTGTAGGACTGGTAAGTGAAGCCACCCTCTGGGTTTCCTTGTTTCCTTCTTGCCTTCTTTCCATCTAAACAACGAGGTAATATTTCATACTAACTTGGCAAAAATCAGTGGATATACAATTTTCTATCATGAAAAACACATGGCAAATTTAATACAATTTGAAACACTAAATTTTTCTATGAATTGACTAGATCAAGACCTCTGGTTGTTTTGTTAGATTTTGACAGAAAAGCATACCCTAAATCTACTCTTACAAAGGACGTGGTCCTGTTTTCCAGCAGACTTAGATGTGATAGGAACTTACATGTGATCCTCTTTGGTACTCAGTGACAACACTTTCCTCAAGTCCACAAAGTTAAGGTTCAACATTAGCTGGGGCAAGATTCTTACCCTCTTCTTACATTAATTACGTTATCCGGAAGACCACTGACATAGATGTAGCCCATCAGAAAAACTGCAGATTTCAAATATTAATGGTCGCTATTTGGGATCTGAAAATAAAGGGATAAATTGTGTAAGGAATTAGAAACACTATGTTTTTTTAATCCTAGGTTACATTATATTGCACATGTGTCTTATTAAATTAAGAATACTGTATAATTATGAAGCATCAGCAGGGTTAGTGTTACATTAGAAGCACTTTTAAGTATGTTACAGCTATTCTATTTTTGAATCTTTGCAAACTCACATCTTGAAATGTGGAGACAATAATTATGCATATGACAGTATACAATACCTAGCACATATGAACAAAAGTAAAAATGAAATGTGTGTCCACTCTATGGCAGGGTGTCATAGGCCACATATACAGCCCACCAAATACAAGCATCCTGCCAGTTGTCTTGTGCAGAGCCACAGAAAGCATGTGTACTCATTTTCCTAAAAATGGTCAAATTATCCTTGATTCTTTTCAATTGTCTTTATTTTGCTTATAGTGAAAAACACTATACTTTAGATTTTCCATTAGATATTTGGAGACAAAGAGTGAAAACTGAATCTCAAAACTTTTTAACTTCTTAACATCTGTGCTGATGTCCTAAGTAAAACGTTTTAATACTTTTATGAATTATTTGAGAATTTCATACGATATATTTTGGTCATATTCAGAGCCCTGTCCCCACCTCCACCCACCTTACTAATTCCCTGAATTCATATCTCTATTATTATTGGAGTTTTATTGAAGACCTATCGAGTCTGATTTGTTTTATTCAAATGCTCTTGGTGTGGGTCCATCTCCTGGAGCCTGATCAACCTATCTGTCATCACACCCTTAAAGAAAGCCAACTCTCCCTCTCCCAGCAGCTACCAATTGCAAATAGTCCCTCAGCTAGGGCTGGAGCTTCTGGCCCATGTCGCCCATCCATGCTGGGATTTTGTCTGTCTTGGGTTTTCACAGGTCTTGTGCATGCTGCCATAGGCACTGTGGGTTCATGTGTGTGATTGCCTATTATGTCCAGAAAACACTGGCTGTAGTCATCCACCACTTCCAGCTCTAATAATTTTTTTGCCCCATTTTCCACAATGATTCCTGAGCCATAGAGGAGAGGGTACGGTATGGATGTCACACATAGGTCTGCATACTCTGCAGTCTTGTCTTGACCAGCTGTGGATCTCTGAGGAAAAAATTTTTAAACTGACTGAAATTAGACTTACTTTTTAACTATAAATGTATGTATAGTGACAACAGCTACTTCCTATTCTTCTGCACTCTATGTTTACATGTCATGAATATCATTCACATATAGTTTAATTAAATATAAGAATGTTTAATTTGCTCAAGAACTGATGCTTTTTTACTTTTAAGTTGCCCAAACCAAGTGGACAGTACAGAAATTCTTTTTTTACTTAACATTGTCATAAACATCCAGAAACAAAGCAGTGAACACAAAAATGATTATCTCTTTGGAGTGTCAGAGGCAAGCTTAGTTTGGTGAATGTAGCTCTCATAACTGATGTGCTTGCTATTCCAAGAAACACAACCCCAGGGGATGAATCTGTCTACTAATGATATATGTACTGTCTCGTTGCTTTGCATGAGACCAGAACTCAAAGCTCACAGACACATGAATCAAATGTGCAGGTGTAAAACGGATAGGGCACACATATGCAGGGATGCCAGTTAGAATTATTCTTGTCTGAAAAATATAACTAGCTGGTTAAAGAATGAGATTTTACTATTTCTCTTATTCCTAGATTAGATTGGATCACATATCTGTCTTATTAAGAATGCTATATAATTATGAGTTATTTAATCACTATTGTATTGGCTGACTAAAAGGGTTTTCTTTTCCTAGGTTTAATTTCTTACACATGCATACATAATTAAATGTCTAAATTTTTTCCTTCTCTTCCCAAAGTCTGTAATTCTGTGGGTTTCTTATTATCCTTGGAGCTCCACTGCTAAACACTTGGTTCCACTTAGTGCTCCCTCGGTGGCTCCTGCTTCCTGCTGTTCAGAGGCAATTGACTCTCTGCATCCTGCTCATACCAGCATCTTTCCATTACCAGTGTCACTGCTGGACTTCAGACTTCTGTCAGGAGGTGTAGAGACCACCTGTGGTGCTCCCATTCTCTTTCATTTTTTTAAAATTCACTGTTACTATCCATGACATTAAAATGAAATGTTTATAAAACTGAAAGGAAAAGTCTCTAGCTTCCAGTTACCTGCCAAAGGAAAGCCTTGTTCTTTAGCTTACAACCCAGGTTTCTCCACATGTCTGTCTTTGTCTCTCATTTCCTTAAGCCATTCCTTGCCAGCAAACCCTGTTGCTTGTCTAACACACAAATGTATGCAAACGGCCCTTGATTTTTGATGCTTTCGCGTATGACTTTTTAATTTACAATCGTTCAAAACCAAAAACATTCAGAAGAAATCTCTATTTGAATTTTGAAATTGGATCTTTTCCTGGGCTAGGAAAATTTATCATGATCTTTAATGTTGGACATTGGCAGATAGCTGCAGTTCCCATTCAACCACACAATCACATGGAGAAATAACTCACACTTCAGTGTGAATTGTTGCTGAGCAGCAGTGTTTGGTAGGTCATGTGGAATAAATGCATTTTTGATTTAGCGGCATTTTAACTGTAATGTGGTAATTGTCACATAGCTTTATCATGGTGAGTAGTGTCTCTACTCTTGGCCTTGTTCCCTCCTAAGTACTAAGTACTAGTACTAAGCATATTCTTCAAGGCTCTTTCTACCCACAAACATCTCAATCAGATCTTTCCCTGTCATCTTAATGGATGGATGAATATCTTTGTCTAATTCACAGAAAACGTAGAAGTGAATGTATATGTGTCTCAAATGTAACTTTTCTTCCTAAGGACTCAGCTGACTACAAGAACAGTTTGCATGACACAGTATAGTCAAGCACAGAAATTAAAAATATGTTGTTTCACTGTTTCTAAGTCAGTGTTTCATAGCATCCTATGGAGAATGTAATTTCAGGTTCTTCTCTGTCTGAGTAAGAGGAACTATCAAGCTGTACCAGCTCTGAGAAAAATGAATCGAGAGTGCCAATCGTGCACATCCAGGACAGCTAAGTTCATAGCCAATGTTCTGGTATCACTCTTTGTTCCAGTGGATCAGTGTTCCCTTCGCCCTGTCACATCCTGCAGTCACTGACATTGGATTCACTGCTGTGCACTTCAAATACCAGACTCCCTGGTTGGGGACCATTGAATCATTTGAAGTCTACACCTGGCTTGATAATTTTCTGTTGTTGGTAAGTGATACTGTGACCTGAGAAATGTGATCTAATTGTTCACAGAAGCAAAGGAATTTTCAGGATTTTCACAAATATACATAAAGTTTCACCTGCTGGCTCATGGCCATTTCTGAATTGACTACTGTCTTGGTAGTCTACACATTGTGGAGAGCAAATTGAATCTTAACAGTCCAGCACCCATATAGGGTGTGCAAGGTCCATGGTTCTGTTGTAACAGAAGCTCATGAATCAAGGAATCTGACACCCTACAACAGAGGCCTCCTCCAGTTAGAGCCAAGCTATCTGAAAGTCTTGTGGTTTGGGATTAAAGCATTAATACAATTTATGCTGAGATAATATTTCATCCTGGATCAGAGCATATGCCAGTTAGTGGTGTCATAGGTCTGGAATGCATGAGATAAGTTAGAAAGGGTCACTGAAAGGAAATTCCAAAAGAGAGGCCCTTGGGAGGTGGAGATGGCTGGAGAACACATGGAACCATGTGGAGCGCCTTGGCAGTGAGAGGGGAGCATAGGAGAAATCTGGGCAGAGCACAAGGTTGAGGAAGAGGAGGAATCAAATGAACATATCCGATTTTATGATTTTGCTAATAGATTATATATGAATATAATGTGATATATTTTATTTCAAGGTAATAAATTTGCTCTTTCTTATAGCAAAGTGAAAGTGGAAGGGAAATAAATTATTTTGGGTTCCTATTCAAAGAATCAATAATATTTTATGAGTTTATGTTTGTAGTAGTTTGCTGAATTTGAGCCATGCCTTAATATTCAGAGTGTATCTTTCCTAGTAAAGAATTTTCCAGTAAGAGGGAGGAAAAATTGGAGAAAAATATATTTCCAGTAGTGGAGCAGGAGACTTCTCTCCCTAGGACTGTAAGGAAAATCCCTTGGATAGTTTATAATTGTGAACATGCACCTGAAGTGATGCTTGCCTGGCAGGTGTGTTTATAGCCACATAGAAATGAAGAAAGCAAACCATTTGTTCACCATCAAACATCATGCCTGAGCCAGCAGAGCACCAGGAGGTTACAGTCCTTTTCCCCACAACACACTGCATTCTTCAGAAGCTTGATCTGTAAAATAAAGCATTACATACAGCTCTTAAGTCAGATTCATGATCCCAATTAAAGACCATAGAAGTCAAGTACCCAATGTTGGGTGGAAGGGGAAACTGCAGAGTAAACTTGGAACTGTTACACTGACAGTCTTTGGTCTTCTAGTTGCCATTTGGATATCCCTACACGAACATGACTTCCGAATCTTGCAAATAACATTGTGGAAGCCTCTCTCAGCCCACCATCCCTACACTAGATCTACATTAGATCCATAGTCTCCACCTTGGCCTTCTCTGTAGTCATTCCACCAAGCTCATTTTCTAAATTTCCCCGTCTTCATCAATAGGGCTTCTACAACAAAGTACCACACACAGAAAGATATGTTTCAGAACTCTGGAGGCTACAGTGAGGGTGGGGTGGCAGCAGCGCTGGGTTCTGGAAAGGTTCCTCTTCGGGTTTATGGCTTCTGACTTTTCATTTTGCCTTCACACGGTGGAAAGAGGACAGTAGAGCTGGGAGCACTCCACCTTTCCCATGTAATTATCTCCCCCAAAGCACAGTTCTCAATCCTATCAAATTGGGATCGGGTTTTCAACATATGAACTTTGAGCAGGAGTGCAAAACCATTCATATTTTACCCAGGGGACTGCATGTAGATGAAAATGCGTAAGTTGGTACCATTCTTGGACATGGAAGATATTGATGATATACTGACTTATAGGTTGCAAAAAGGGAGAAAATTGTTTGGGAAGAATATAGACTTCAGGAATGGAATGATGAATGTTAGGACTTGTTCCTTTAACTATTTGTTTTTACTTTTGAATGTTTATGGCTTTATAGGAAGAAAAATTTCTCTGAAATCAAGTATCAGTGCCAAGGCACTGTGCTTGGCACAGGTGAAATAAAGATAAATAAAATAGTCATACCAGAAGTTAAGCCCCAGAAGGAAAGAGGAGCAATTAAAAACTCTCAATGCACCGTGACACACAAGCTCATTCACCAGTTCACTCATTTGTTGGTAAACATTTATTAAATATCAGTTCTCCAACTGTCTGCCAGTTGGAGGAGGGGCAATAATCCTGGGGAATGTCAGTAACTTTTCTAGCCTCTTGTCCAACCACTGATTCAATCCCAAGTTCTGCTCATGCCTTATGTACAGGGTCACACAGCTTCCGGGGTGCTGTAGTGATTTTACTTTGTTCATATTTGTGCCTCTTCTAAGAACTCTCCTCTCCCTGTATCTCCACCAAGGCATGTCTTTTCAATGCTTAGGCACCAACTCAGATGTTGTTTCTGCAGGCTGTCCTGACTGCCCTGCAGTTGTTTTTCCAAATACTCTCTTCTTTCAGTCCCAAATAATTGTTTCTCTTTTTGCCTTCATACAACCAATTGCACTAATTCAGTACCACCAATGTCCTTGTATGTCTTTAATAAAGCTGTCAGCCACAACTCTAGTATACCTATGTGCATGTATCAGT